CAGATAAGCTGCTTCATGTGACTCTGATTCTGGTCGCTATGATCACCATCTTATCAGCAGCTTTGCTGATTTTCTACAAGAACAGGAAGAATAAACCAAAAGGTGAGCCTGCAGTAAACAAATTCATCTCTTCAGTCCACAACATGACTGGCATGCAGGTTCATTTCCTGGGGTTTAACCCTAAACTTAATGTTAAGCCAAACTTTTATAATATATTGTGTAATATTTATTATGGGAACTTTTTATTGCAAAATGTGAAAGTGTAAATAACTTTATGCTTTAATAATAAAAGTAACAGGAAAATCTGAAAGGAATCGAAAGCACTGTGACACAGTTATTGGTTGCAGTTTATTTCAAATCAATCATTGTTTAATCTCTTCACTACTTTATCCTCATCCTGTTCAGTTCTTTGGGTTCTGTTACTGTGTGACTTAATGTGACATAAATACAGATGTTTAATGTTTGCATGTTTTTCAGGATCTCCTATGAAAACCGAACATGCTGACATCACACAGGTGGGTTTTAGGAGTTATGAGTGACCTGAGCTTCATTACTACTTGATTAGGATCAATCAGCCAGTTTGTCTTCTTTCTCCAGGCAAACTGGCTTTATGGAAACATCACAGAGGATGAAACTCAGAACAGTGTAACTCCTGTGCCGGTGTCTTCAGTTTATGACTACCCCGAAGGCTCGCAACCAGATGGAGTTGAAAACCAAGAGCTCTACAGCCTCGTCACCGCTCCTCAGAACACAGTAAATAAAATCATGGTTTGATTTTAAACTCTGACGTCAGAAACAATGATCGGTGCAACATTTTGGGCAGTAAAGTAATTCACTAGTTGTCTGGATCAATCTGTTATACTTAAATTATAGTGATTTACTGTTTGCAAAAAGTTGCTGGTTTGATTCCAGGCAGAAACAGAAATTGCTTCAGGAAGAGCAGCAGATGCAAAACTAAATCGAAACTCTAAAAAAACTCTAAATCAAACCATGCAGAGCTGCCAGCTGTGGGGAAGCCTTGTGACAAATCAGCAGCAGAAATGACCAATGACAGATAAACAGAGCAGTGATGAATCTTTTGTTAAAACAGCAGAGTGGAAGCTCACAGGCAGCAGCTTGTGCTGGTATCAGTTTCTTTAGCATAAGTAAAATGGATTTCTATTTTAAATCACTCTTACTTTATCAATACGATGAGGTTAAACTTTTTTTGAAGAGTTCACAAATTTAGTCTATTTTTTAACCTACATGTCCAAAAATGATCTTCTTTCTGGTAGTAACTCTAAATGTTCATGTAATTACAAATTCATTTTAAGATTCTGACGCTTGATGTCACCTTTTTATTTCAGGCTACAGATGACATGAATGATGCTGATTACACTGAAGTGGATTTTTCCCACACTCCTTCCTCCAACAGCGCCCCCTGTGGTAATATATGTGACACTGTCTACTGTACACCTGCGATTTATGCCAATCACACCAACGTTGGTTCACCTCCTCTGTACTCTACTGTTGAAATACATTAGCTCTAATGCTGTGGATGGCACCTCAGTAGTCAGCAGGTGAACATAATTAGCCTTGGATAAATGCAATGTTTTACAATAATTATTTATTATTTAGCTTAAAAGATAACTAATTCACTTTTTTTTCAAACTATAGTATTTCCCAATAATGTTATTGTCATAATTGATAGACAATTACATAAAATCATAATGAAATAAACTGCAGCATAAATGTCTGTTGGATGGTTAGGCATGGCATTTAGCTTTTCTGTTTTCAGCAGTTAGCCTGTTAGGAAAAAGCTGTGCAGAATGATAGATTAACCAGCAAGCAGGCTCTCCATTATAGAACGCCAGCACGACCATATATGGAACGCAGTCCTGGCGTTCCATATCCATACTCCATGGAGGGAAGTTGCTAAATGTAGTTAGCAACTAACCAGGTGGCTAATTTCACATGTAATTTTAACTGGTTAGATTTTAACCTAACTAACTAGTCCTTTTTTCTGAAAGCAAACAAAACTAAAACTGACAACTGAAATAATATGAAAGACTTCAGCACTTTGGCCGACACTTGATGTCTTTTAAATGTGCTATACAAATAAAGCTGAGTTGACTTGACATGAAGAAAAAATTATGAAGCTTTGGAAAGCTTGAAAACATCTAAAGATGATTACAAATAGCATTAATCTCACTACAAAGGGATTTTTTTTTACCAGCATAGCTAACTAGTGCTAGCTAGCATTAGCCAGTACCATTCCGGCCACCTTTTTGTTCAAATATGGCCACGTGTGTTTACAGAAAAGAGAATAATGCATCATTAAAGACCTCAAAAAGCTGGTCCAACTTTTTGTTTAAAAAAAATACTCTCTGTGAAGTTGTCTCTGTCTGTTACTCGATATAATCCAGAAATGTTTGCCAACAGGCTATATTGAGAAGGATATTCTAACAACTTTACTGAATGCAGTGTGATATCCCACATGGAAAAGATATATATAAATCTTATAAAGTTTGTATCTGTTTTGTGTGAAACTTGTATGAAAAACATACAAGAGTGAAAACAGATGACAAGAATTTGAGGCATGAATTTAAATGTCATGTTATGTTGTGTTTTTCCACATGTATCCCGTGTGTGGATAAATGTCAGTGATGGATGTCTCTTATAGTTCTGAGAAGATCTCTTTGTATCCTCCCGACCTTTAATACAAAATGAAATGAGAGCTGGTTGGAATGAAATTCTACAAACTGTTTAATAGATATTGGTCATAAATATAAGGTCCCAACAGTGTAACCATAAAACTTCTTATTTATGTCATTTTACACTGAAAATGATGAATGTCCTGAATTTACTATATTAATTTAACAAATTTTATTTTGTTAAATTAAAAACAATATTATTATATTCATTTAAGCTATTGCATTTGCATATATATGTATATGTTTTATATCTGTTATTTATGTTTCACTGTGCTCAGCATTACGGTATTTTTTAGGATGCAGTAAACTGTAAAACGATAATACTGTTTAAATAACTGAACTGTAATAAATCAACTTTTTCTTGTGATCCGAGGGCGACAGAGATTGAAGTTTACTGCCTCTACATCACAGCTAAGAGGTTTAACAGTCTTAATATCCAGCATTATGTGATTAAAAATGATCAGAGGAAACTCTGTCTCCTGATAATAAAGCATTTCTATTCTTAATCAAAGATAAATCAAAATATAAGTTTGATCAATATGTAAATGAGAAATGTAGTTTGAGTAGCAGAAATGAGTGTTATAATATCTGAGAACTGTGTCACCGACTCTTTAGAAAAATTAAACACAGAACCATGATTTATATGTGGTTTTACTGATAGTAACACAGTCAGATAGACAGAGGGGATAAGGTGTGGGTGGACCTCGGATAATTAAATGTCAGCACCTTGATTGGCTGGCTAAAATGTGAAGATGTGACATCCAGTGAAGGAAAGGGGAGAAAGGGTGAGCAAGTATAAAAGTGATTCTGAGTTCTTCCCTTTTGTCTTCTGTGAGATGAGCAGTTCAGACGATTGGATCTAAGAGGTTCACAGTTCAAATTCCAGCAGCGATGCTCGAGGGGAAACTGCAGTCCAACCTGTAAATGTGCAAAATTTTGTATTTTTTGGCTTTTCATCTGCTCATTTTTGCCTCTTTAGTTAATTCAGATGGATTTTCATTTACATTATACTTCCACTGCCCAGTGGCTTTCCTGCTGAGTGATTATCATCAACTCAGAACATCAGGATAAGTGCATCTTCAGATCTGTGCTCATCCTTTCTCCAACCTCTCCTCACCAAAGATAAGAGCAAAATCAGCATTAGCACAAGTAGACAGTAAAAATCATCACTTAAACTATTAGATTTCTTTTTTGCTTTTGCTAAATTTCTTGAATAAAATTTCTTGCATTTAAAGTCTAAATTGTGGGCATTCACTTTCTAACCTTTTGTGAAACAGTAAAGTCTGAGTCGTATTCTTTATTAGCTCACACAGCTCTTACAGGTTACCAGGTCAAGACTTTATAATCAGAGAGCACAACCAGACTACCTGTATAGGGGTTTTTTGTGCCATACTCAACAGTTGGGTGCTGGGTCATTGAACCCAAGACCCTGAAAAGTCAATAGTTGGCACCTGGACAGTTTTTGGACACTAAATCTGTGACTGAAGATCTACGTTTGGTTTAGAGAAGAACGTTTTGGACAATGACGATCTTCTTGGGCTCTAACTGATTAACCCAAAAAGCTCAGACCCAGAGACATGTTGTTGGTTTTTTTGTGAAAAAAACATGAAGATTGGCAGGTTTAACATTCTAGATCTAGATGCAGTAACTATCATCCCAGCAAATATTAGAAATAACAGCCTAAATACAACATGTGAAAGGTTGAAAGAAATAATGAGACACTGCAGGTAAACAGAGAAAGGATGAAGGTCAGGTGACAGCATAAATGCTGCACAGAGTCAATATCACACAGAAGATGATTTAGGAAGCTCATGTGTTGTTTCTTCTGTCAAGCTATTGACACTTCAACAAAGTGATATTTTCACTTTGTTGAAGTGTTTGAACTGACTCCCTCAGTTCTGCAACAGCAAAGCTTTACTTCCTTTTATGTAGATACAGTTTAAATATATGACTCTGCTGAGAATTGTCTCAGTACAAATTATTCCTTCTTCACCATATTTCCAAAAACAAGAAAAGAAATTTCCCTTTAAAGCAATAACAGGACATTTTCTTTTTTTTAATTTATGCACAGACATCATATCAAATACATCTATAAAGAGCAGAACAAGGTTTTATTGCTTTATCTGCAAATTATGACATTTTTTGCAAATCAAAATGTTGCAGGTTATTAGTGCAGTCAGTCAAAGTGAACATCAGGTCCATTACGTGGTACATGGTGCTGTAGGTATAGCCCCCAGGGGTGTCGAACTCCAGGCCTCGAGGGCCGGTGTCCTGCAGGTTTTAGATCTCAACCTGGATCAACACACCTGAATCAAATGATTAGTTCCTTGCCAGGCCTCTGGAAAACTTCAAGACATGTTGAGGAGGTCATTTAGCC